CGTCGAGCTGCAAAACTTCAGATTTTCTAACTTCAGCGATTTGCGCCTCAGCGCGTCGAACGCTCAGATCGTTCAAATCGCGCTGCTCTAATCGTGCTTGAGGCGCCGCAGCCCTTCCCGACGTTGCTTGAAGCACGTCCACCATAGACTTTGCATGTAAACCTGCTGCTCCTGACGCTGAAATCGCGTTCGGTGTGAACGCACCATAAGACTTCCATGACTTGTCTCAACTCAACTCACACATGCCATGTTTTACAGAGCACAATCTGCAACCAATCAAAACTCTTCCTTGTTTCAGCCAATCATAGGAACGCACCCCACATAGGGAGGATTTACTGAAACCCAGAATCTTCAGCTTAATCTTCTAGAATTCACAGGTGATTTTAGGCAACGTGAACCCCACTTCACCCTGTTTCTAGGTAACATTCAGACAAAAATAGAAAGGCTTTAAAGCAGGTATAATCAATTTCGGTCCTTGAGGTCCGCAACCCTGCATGTTTTACTTTTTTCCCTTCTCTAACACACCTGATTCACTCAGTGAATTACCTCTTCCAAGTTCTGCAGAAGCCTGAAAATCATCCATTCATTCAAATCAGGTGTGTCGGAGAAGATAAACAAGTAAAGCGTGCAAGGCTGCAGACCTTGTGGACCGTAATTGACTATCCCTTCTTTAAAGGATAGTTTAAAATTCAAGTCACACGTCTTAGTCATCCTGCTGTAACTTATGTCTGCTATATCCCCCGGTGACAGCTGTCATCTGCACTGCCCAGTAAGAACTTCACGCTGCGGACCTTGTAGCTCTCATTGTGTGATTGGTTTTAAATTTTGTGGGCGTGTTTGTTCATGCCAAGCAGAGCAGCTCTGTGCAGCGACACTCTGAACAATAAGTCTTTTTGCATGTCAGTTTGCTGAAAATGATCTGCTCTCCAAAGCCAGTAGTTAACTTAGCAAGACATATCTCTCTCTCTCTTTCTCTCATTTATAAACAATATATATATATATAAACTTTTTGTTAATGGTGGGACAGGGTTACATGGACTTGGTTATGTTAGTGATTGACTCAGATTAACCCGGTTCCATAAAGTGAACCAGATTTACCAGCTCTACTTTACATGGAAATAGAACTGTTTGAATGGGTTCACTGTTGCCAACTCTTCAGCAAGGAAAGTCCTAGAAGTTGCTAGATGACATCATTGTCTAATTTGCACATTTAGACATTTGCCAATAATTGTGATCTAAGGTGTAGGACAGATGTGTATCAATGTTAAGTTGAAAAAAGTGAGGAAAAACATTAAATATGTTTATAACTGCAGTTGAACTTACTGAAATAAAAATGATTTTATGACTTCAATGCTTAGATCCACTTTAAGACCTCCGCCAATCATGATTTCGGCAGTCTCACAGGCCACAGGACAACATGTTCTGCAGAGACCCCTACTTGACATTTTCAGCAAAGTGAGAATCCACACATTGAGTGAGGTGGTTTATTGCTGTGGTAGCAGCGTACTGGGGTCCTGGGTGGATTGTGGAGGCACCAGTGGTAGCATATCCTCGACATGGGGTCCACATGTACCTGTGTGGTTTGGTCTTTGAAATTGTCTGTAGCTGTGAAAGTTATAGGGAGACTGTTCTCTTTAGATGGACTGAATTAGGCTGAAACTCTTTGAGGGTGCAAACAGATCTTTCCAATATTTAACAATATCCTGATGCATCTCAGTAATCCAGGTAAAAAATCAAAAAGAAAAAAAATTGTATAGGTCTTCTGGACGGGTTCTYCTCTAATGAAACGTTTCGTCTCTTCTCCAAGAGACTTCTTCAGTCTGTTTCAGGCAAAATTCAGGCTTTTAAGCCCTGCCTCCATGTGACTGATACTCACATCACATGGCTATCGTTGACACCTAATTAACACTTATTGTTAACAGGGGGTGGAGTTGAAGAAATTTATAGTTATTGTTTAGTACTGATATTACAAACAACACCAGAGTAGTAGGGTTTCCTTATTTTATAATACTTTTATGTTTGTTATATGACGTGTTAATTAAATAAGGTAGATAAA